TGTAAAACAAAGCGGGGAGATGTTCAACTAACTTCCTAAATGACATGAAGCAGGGCTTCCACTGCCTGAACCCTCAGACCTTGATATACCTGTCTCTTTGACAAAAACCTCCTCCCCCACAAGGGTTTAGAACTCACACTCCCCCAAGTAAATAGTATATGATATAATAGAGCATCAAGTCCAGACTTAGTTGCTGAAGGTCATGAAAGGAACAGAGACAGGAAAAAAAAAGAGTCTAGTTGAGTCTAGCTGAAGAGATAATTTTCCTTGGGAGACTCCATGGGCCAGGAGGCCTCTAATTTTCCCTGAGGCCAGCACATTCCTGGCCCAGGGCCTTCCCTTCCTTGTCCCTTCTCCTGGTCTAGGACCTTTCCCAGAGCTCCCTTGACCCCTAAGGAAACAGTTGGACATCTAATCTTAGATGTCCTTAGATGTTCTTAGAGAATGCACTTGCCCATAGCTTATCCATAACCTGATGAGAAGCAGAGATCCTACACTCCTCTAAGATGAATTCTCAAACAGTCTCCTCTCTGTCAGGAGTTAGGAGATGGAATGTCTTGTGTGAGGAAGAGCAAGTAGGCTGGTGTCACTAGATCAAAAAACTGTGGGGTGGTCTAAGGTATAAAAAGATCAGAAAGGTGGAAAGTTATGAAGGGCTTTGAACACCAAACAGAGAATTTTGCATTTGATCCTGGAAGTGATAAGGAGCCACTGGAATGTATTGAGTAGGGGGGTAACATGGTCTGGCTTGTGCTTTAGGAAAGTCACTTTCATGACTGAACGGAGGATGGGTGAGAGTGAGAAGAGATTTGAGGCAGGCAGATCCACCAGCAGGATACTGAAGTAGTCCAAGCATGAGGTGAGGAGGACCTGCCCCAGGTTGGTGGCGGTGTCAGAGGAGAGAAGGGGGGCATATTAGAGAGATGTTGCAAAGGTGAAATCCACAGGCCTTGGATATGGCAGGGGTGGGGAGTTGAAGATAACACTTAAGTTTCGAGCCTGGGAGACTGGGAGGATGGTGGTGCCCTCTAGAGTAACAGGGAAATTAGGAGGGAGAAATGGTTTAGAGGGAAACATAATGAGTTTCTCGGTGAGAAAGAAAACTAGGCATCAAGGATAAGGGAAGCCAGGCAGTGGGGGAGGAGGGCATGAGGAGAAAACTAGTTGGAGGAGGGTAGAAAGATACTCAGCAGTAGAGACAAAACATGTCACCTGTCCTGATCCTCACCATCAGACAGGCCTTTTTATAATCTAGCCTCACTCCTTCCTGCTGTAGCAGTTTCTTTTTCTCTTTCTTTCCTCAGTAGCAGCTGGGGGAGTGAAAGGGATGGGGAGGGCTAAGAAGAGGGGGAAGATGTGAATTAGCAATTAGAATTGAATCAAGGAAGACACAAAAGAGAGGAATTAGGAACAGGTGTTAGGAGAACAGGAGGCATTGGGGAGGGGAGGCATGTCTGCGGACCAGAGCCAGGAGGGGAGGGAGAGTTTGGGGAACTGGGAAGAGAGGAGGCAGCCTCAAGGACACCAGAATGAAATGGCATTTATTCATTTGTTTGTTTATCTATTTGCTATGATGACAGGTGAAGCCAGTGTCACCATGGCAACAAGACACCAGCTCTTCCCAAAATTAAGAATACAGATTCTGTGAAAGAGGCTGAGGGCCGTGGCTCCTCCATATATCAAGGTCCCTAAGGGCAGAGTGTATGTTTTCTAATTCTTTGATGTACTCGCAGAGTGCCTAGGATGGAGCTGGATACATATTTAGTCAATGATTCCTGGCTGGACAACGTCAAACTAGGAGTCTGGATTGCGCAAAATGTTGGCTAGGCCATAAATCAGTTTTCTTGAAATGATTCTGTCTCCCAATCGCTTCCTGAGAGCACAGGATTGGGGGAACTGGGGCGAAGTCCTTCTGACTGTCTGACCTCAGTCACTCAAGCTACAGTGTCCTGGCTCTCCGCTCAGGCTCAGAAGGCACACTTCAATCTCTCTAAGCCAAAGCCATGCTGTCCCAACACAGATCCATAGAAAGCTAGAACCAGGGATGTAATAGAAGAAAGAGACATAATGTGTCCTTCATGGTTGATTAGATGGAAGTGTTATAAGTGTGTGTGTTTCTGTCAGTTTGTATGCCTGAAGATGTAGGTATGGCATCAGTTTGTGACTGAGTGTGGGGCTCTGGAGATCTGAGAGTCACTCACCTTGCTGGCTGTGTCTCTGGGCATACGCCACGACCCCTGCAGCAAGAACCACGAAGCAGGCCCACAGAACAGGAGTGGCCATCTGGCAGGAGACAGGGAATAGTGGGGGGAGGGAGGGGAGACCAGGAAAGGGGGAGCATCAATCCCAGAGAACTCATGAGAAGATTCCCCCCCAGCCCAACCCCCTCATCAACTGCCCATACCCACAGTCCAACTACTCCCAACAACACTCCCCTCACTGATTCTAAACCATTCATCCCCAATCATGATTCTCAATGACTCCAACCCTGACCCTCACCCTGACCCATCATCCTCAACACTTACCCCATCAACACCAATAACTCTTTCAGTCAAATACAAGGAAACATACAGTATACATTTTCAGGCCAACCTACTGCAACTAACTGATTACCAATTCTGAGGTGGTTAGGAGGTGAGCCTTTTCACATGCCAGCAGGAACCTTGCTCACCCACACTCAACAGGACAATCAAGACCAGAGTAGAATAGAGGGCAACTAGCCTCTCTTAGTGGAACTGTGGTCATAACCCTGTTGTGTCACTTGGGAGGACCTACTCAATTTCAAGCCCAAGAATTGGTCCCAGCTGACCAATGGAAAATTCATTTTCTGCCTGTCTCTTCTTGGTTTAGCTGATGCCCTGGATGCTTGTATGTTCTTTTTTGACTGTATGGTACTTGCATCCCCTCCCTAGAATATGATTCTAGCTTCTTTTCTCTGCATCAAACTCCATGACCCATGAAATTCATGAACCTCACTTGAATCACTGTCCTGGCCCCTCCTATCCAGCCTGGCAAATGGCCACAACCTGGCATTGACACGTAGATATATACAGATACATACATACAGACACAGCCCCAGTGACACAATTGATACTCATAGATACACTAAGACTTAAGCACAAATATACAACACACACACACACACAGCTCTTTGGTAGGATGACCTCTAGGGTGTGGAGCTGCTTTTTCTCTCTTCCAGCTTAATGCCTCCCCCCTCAACAAAACAGTTCCTGCCTCCCCCCTCCCCACACCCCCACTCCGCCTGGCCGGAGCGTGCCGTGTCCTACGAGGGAAATTTTTACAAGCTGCAGCTGAAGAGATCCATGTGCTAGCCTTGGCCCTAGCCCCAAGCAGATAACTACACCCCCCCAAAGCCAGTCTTTCCCCTCCTCAATGCTTCCACGATCCCCTTACATCCTCTGCACCAGTCCTTCCATGCCACCAGAGAGTCATCTCTGGCCCCAAACTCTTCTTTGGGCTCTCCACAAACACAAACCCCTCCCAGACTTCCAAGCCTCCTAGATCCCTCCATGAATACAACCTTACTCACTTCCTCAAACCATCTCTAGCTCTCCCCAGCCTCAGTTTTACCCCATCTTGGTCTTGGTATATACAGTCCCATTTTCCCCCAAGGTCCACTTTTCCCCACTCCTGCTCCCTCACTTGCTACCCCCTCCCCAGGCTCTAGCTTCCTACCCCAGCTCCAAATGAGATCTCCTTGCTTTCTTTTCATAGAGGTACAAAGACCTGGCATGGGCTAGGCTAGAGATGGCGGGCGGGATGATCTGGCTGGGCCCAGAGATGGAAAAATAACCACACCCCCATCACTGACCAGATCCATCGCTTGTCTGATCCCCATCCAGCCAGGCTCCTTCCCAATCCTGCTATCTCATCAGGAAGACAGAGCTTAGGGAAAAACGGCGGGGGGGTGGGGGTGGGGGTGGGGGGGGTGGAGGGGACTGTTGCCCGAACTGATCAACACCCCCCCATCATCAGACTGGGTGCCTCCCCCCAACCATGATATCACTTGGAGATAGCTGTGTTTGTTTAGACAAATCTGTTGCTATTCTTAGCTGCAATGGCCTGACTGTCTCCAAAAATCGAAGATGCTGGAGAAAGGGTGTCCTCTGAACTGGAGGGTGGGGGATCCCCAAGCAGTTCATTCTAATGCTAGGATTCAGTTCCAGGTCCAGACCTCAGGCCTAAGCTTCTTTCCAGCTAATAGTGCCAAGGGCAGCAACCAACCCTCCTTCATTTAAAAAAAAAAATCACCCATAGGGAGAAGAAGTAAAGGCCCAGGGGTCAGTAGTATTCTACATCTGCTTGCTCTTCAGTCTAACTATTTTCCCCATCTCTCAACCTGCTCCCTTATAGCAACCATTTCACACACACATACCCCTTCCAACTTCTCTGAACATCCTATCTATGAAGCTCATGTGTGGACACTTTAAGCAGAGGGAAGGAGGAAACATGGTAAGTCTTCTTGAAAGATATCCTGCAGAGTGTGAAGAAGGCATAGCCCCATGCTTAGGGATCCCTGAGAGTGAGGTGCTGAATGTATAGGACATTGATAGCCAAAAGCAGGGAGCTAAAGCTATCAGGAATTGGAAGATGTAGAAGTGCAGAGGGGATGGAAGACAGGGGCGAGGGGAGGGCAGGGGGGTGTCTCAGGGCAGGAAAAGAAGCATTCATAAAGGGTTTGAAGAAGTAGTGAGCCAGCTGACAACACAGGAGGAAACAAACTGATTCTGGCTCCTCTATGCCTCCCTACCTCTTCATAGGTTCCTTCCCCTCAGCCTTAGTTACCCCTCCACCACCCTCTTCCCAATCACTCATTCTAACCTGTCAAGAAAAATACTTTTAATCTCTTTTAAACACCCTGTCAGCCTGATCACAGCAACCCCTAAGGGGGAATTTGGGGAGGAGGGAAGTAGGGTAAGATGATACCAGACAGGTCATGGTCTTGATGTGATGAGGTGTCTCTATCTCAGTCTCTTGCTCTCTTATCTTTCTCTCTATCTTTAGGTCTCTCTCCTCTCTCTTTTTCTTCCCTGTCTTCTCTTTTATCTTCTCCCTCTCCTTTCTATTCTCTCTCTTTCACTGTCCCTCTACCCTTCCTTCTCTCTCTCTCTCTCTCCCTCCCTCCTTCCCTCCTTCCCTCCCTCTCTCTCTACCCCATCCCAATCATAGAAGTGGAAGTAAAAACTAGAGTCAGAACTGGAGGGGCCTTTAGAAATGGACTAAGGCCTAGAGACCCTAGAGATAGTCTTCTTCAACTTTACCATTTTATAGATGAGGAGCCTCAGGACTAGAGGAAGGGAAATTACTTCCCCAAGGTTATGTAGTTAGTTCCTGACAATTGGAACTAGAACCCCGAGACATTCTAACTCTGTTTTGTGACCTCTCCAGGTCACCATGCTTCCTCTGCATTTCTCCCCATCTTTCCCCTCCTGGCCATTCTCCAGGCTCAAGTTCTGTCCTTGAAGGATCCTCTGGAAAAGTTTCTCCATCCTCTCCTTTCTCCACTCTGTCCCAATCCAATCCATTATCCCAACTCCCAAGGGAAGCAACACAGGATCAGATGCTCCTCTGGTCTCAGCTATTCCTCTGGCCTCAGCTACCCCAACATAAGTAGTTTCCTAGGCCTTGCCATTTCTCTCGAATACCTTCAACTACTCCTCCTGATTCTGCTATTCCTTGGCCCTCAGCTACTCTTCTGTTCTAAGTGTTCCCCTTGGGAATCTCCATTTACTTTCAGTCATCAATCTATGTCTCCACAGCCATCTCCTTATTTCAGTCTCAGTCTCAGTAAAGGTGCACATATTATTTAAAAGATATAGTCCCTGAATGGATTATTCCATTTTTATTATCCATACCACTATACTTCCCCTTGAATCTGGATAACTGGGAGTCTTCTCTAGCTGAGTTCCTGTGGCCAGGGCCATCTGGTGATGCTTCCACCCCTTTGGTCCCTCCCCCACTGTAGTTGGATGGGGGGGGGCCACAGATCACCTCCCCCTCACAACCATCTCCCAAGCCCAGAGCCATCTCCCAAGTCTAGGGCACTCAGCCAAGCAAAGCCATCTGTTCCAGGAATGATAGGGCTGAGGTGGGGTCTGCATGCTAATGGCACTGAATGGGGAGCTGGAGGGGAAAGAGAAGGGGGAGGGTCCTTGTTGACTGAGCTTGGTGCAAGGAGGCAAGAATAGCAACTTAACTCTGGCACCAAAACATGTCAGAAAATATCAGTCACTTGTCTCTCTTTCTAGGGATATTTGCCACCAGGTCATGACAGCATTCCTCTGTCTTCAACTTTATCCATTAGCATGTCTATACCTCTCCAAATTCCAGAAGACCTTTCCTTCTTCGGTCTCAGAGTCTCCATTCTGAAGGGAAACACCCTCACCTTTGTGGGGCCTCCAGACTGAAGTAAAGGTCATACCCATGTATGAAGTAAAGGTCAGAAAAGGTCATACCCATGAAAACAAGCCCAAATTACTCAGCTGAGTCCTTCAGAAAGCTAGGTGGATAGAGCACTAGGCCTGGAGTTAAAAAGACCTGAATTCAAATCCAGTCTCAAACACAGAATAGCTGTGTGTCCCTGGGTAAGTCACTTCATTTCTCTGCCTGCCTCCTCAACTGTAAAATGGGGATACTAATAGCACTTACCTCACAGGGTTGTGACGATCAAATGAGATAATGTTTGTAAATTACTTGGCACTTTATTAGTACCTAATACACAGTAGGTACTTCAGTAAAATGCTTGTTCCCTTCCACCACCCCCCCCTTAGTACTGATGGGACCCAGATCAATGGAGTAAATCCAGGGTCATGAGCTGACTAAGAGGAAGGAAAACTTCAGGGATGGAAAAGGGTGACAGGATTAATCTCAGATAGAGTCCAGGAGGAGAGGAGTTAAGGGGGGGAGGAGGGATATAGCAATATGGGCATGTGGTGCTTGGAAAATCTCAACACCTGTGGGTTGCTCACCCATTTCACAGTCCAAGAAATAGAGCCCAAAGAAAGGAGGGGAGATAGGATTGAAAGTCAGAGCCAAGAACCCAACTTTCCTGGGAGCAGGGGCACAGACTAAGAGGCTACAAGTAAAACCATGCCCCACCTCAAATGGGTGTGCATTGACAACTACTTTGAAGGGGAGACATGCTCTGTGATCAAGGGCTTAGGATAT